CCTGAGGATACATTGCTTTTAAGGTGGAACACTTTACAGCCCTCGCAGATATCGTCTGAGCAGGGAACACAAAAGAAGACAGCAGGCTCTTTTTCACAATACTGGCATTGTATTGCTCTCCGTTTTTTATCCATCTGTGTAAAAAAACTATGAACATGTATATTATAATGTAAAACATTTTATTTTAAAAAAGTCCCAGCAGAATATTTCTGTACTTTTCTAACATTTTTTTTTCAAAACTTATACAATTTATTCCTAAATACTAAAATAAGTGTCACTAAAAACTTTTGTCAATTTCTTTTATGAACGTCAAATTAAGGAATGACGATACGTGTTTGTGCTGGTTATCTCATATATACCTTATACGTACCTTATTGGCTATTGTATCAATGTATATGTATACTGATGTATGGCTAAATATTCTTGTACAATGTGCTTTAGTGCCAAATGATTTAATCTCAGTGAGATATCGTAGAGCTCGAGACTAAAATTTTGGTTTGACGTCTATAGGAGAGACCTCAGACCAAAATTTTTAGTCTCTACGAATCTCACTGACATTTTATTGCATGTAACCTGCATTCGTGTTTTGTTTGTATACTGCACTGACCTGCGCTACTGTTGTAAGTTTCTTTGACCAGTATCTATTTCCTGCTGTGGAATAGTGCATGTGCCACTCTACAGAGTGTTTTACAATAACTATGTAGAATACGTCGGTCTAAACTCCATGTACACAGGTGATAACTGATTACACTGACAATCTCCCTCAAGGAGATGCAATGTTTACATGAATCGCCCATTACCGTATTCAGAAGAGTTCATAGTAGAATGTTTTCACTGGACCATTGCGAAACTTTTTGCTAAAAAAATAACACATTTGAGAAAAAAAAAGTGTGATAAAATTGCTAATTCAAACTATTCTGAATAACTTATTAAAGTCGATATAATAGCTAAATCAAGCTATTAATATTGGTAAGTCAGGCTATAAATATACATGATATAGATACATGTAAATTAAATGACTGTACGGGCCTGTATATAGGGACCCTGAGATATATTGGCTGTATGGGAGAATGGGGGAAATATATCTTTGGTAATATTTTGGCATTCAAATACCATTTCCCTTTTACTAAAACATCTAATTTTAATCAATGACCTACTTTCATTTTAGAAAAGGAAAGAGAAAAGGATTACCTGATTTCATGGAAGATTTCCAAATTCACATACACGTTATACGTATAAGAGAGGGGTTATCGACTAAAGGGTAAGGTCTACATGTGTAAGTGAGTAGTTTTAACTGGATTCCACAAACGGAATGTACGCCGCTGAGCAAACACAGTTCAGATTTGATCACATGTATTATCTTAGAACATTAACGTTTGTAGAAGAGTTGATTCGCTCCATTGCCAAATCGCACCGTGCAAGCAAACTCTTATTGTTTTAAACACTCCAAATGAATACCCGGTAGCTTAATAGTGGAGAGTGTATGAAGGGTAACGAACAGTATTCACTACTTATTATCAAAGTCCATAAAACAATACAAAATAGGAGCAGAGCAAACATCAGAGATGGGATCAGGTGCCATGGAGGAGTGAGCATCCCCTGCCGACCGGTCACACCCGATCGGGAAATGACGGGAAAAACAGTGTATAAACTGTCAAAAGGAATAGTAATTTACCTGATTTCATTTGCAGGTTTCCAATTTTGAATAAACGTGGTGCCCTTACTTGTAAAATAGGAGTAAAATCTAGGAGGAGTTCAGGGAACAAGGGGCATTTTGCATTAAATAAGTAGTTTTTCGTTCCCCATTTGACCCCGGGGTAAATTGAAAATTCCGAAACTTTACTGCACATCTACATGACACCACCACCCATCTCCCAAAAGGTGATTAGGCTACTGTGTAAAATGTAGGAGGAGTTCAGAGAAGAAAAGTGTGACAGACGGACGGACACGAGTAACAAAAATATACCCGAACTTTCTTTAGAAAGTGCAGGTATAAAAAAAGAATGAAAACACAGGTTACTGTGTTTCAATATCAATATATATATTCTACATATTTTACGAAATAAAACACATTCATTGTACATATGATGCATGTATAAGTGGCTTCAACACGAAGTTGCACATGTCTAGAAATACACCGCTGAATTTAACTTTTTTTTAAATCTAAAATTCAAAGAGAACTAGAATTATGGTAGAACCTATGTCGGAGAAGTCTTTGTCAAGATTTTTCAAACTTTTCATGATATTGATGAATTAGCATTTGCTTATCAATCAGTTAAAAGCATATGACATGTTCCGTTGTTATTCAATGTAGTGCAGCCTTGAGTTAAACATTGGAATGCTGATTACATATTGCGACTTCACAATTTCAGTCATTTTCAGAGGTAATATTATATTTGATATACCGAGATATAGAGCAAAAAGTTTTAAGATTGTCACCTAAAATGGTATTTTAGAATAGTATTTTCTATCCTCATAAATACTTTTCCGCCAAAAAAATGAAATATGATGTTTAAATCAATAATTTTACATTATCTTTTTAAATCAGGTCAATATCAGGTATTTAGTATATCAGGTCATTAGTATGTTCCAACCATATTTGTCCCTTATATCATTTTTAAAAATAAAATACTTAAAAAGAAATAGACAGATATATATATTTAAGATATATACAAAGTGAATCATAAAAAATAAGAATTTAAATAATTCCTTACTATGTAATCATGCTTGAACTGAAAACGATGAATTATCTAATTACGAGTAAAAAAAATTATATAAGCGGCAATAACTTACACCGGGTAAAGTGAGACAGAATGCCGATTTTTGTTGTGTACACCAACTTGCCAAAAGACAAAATTCCCAAGGATTTCCTTGAACAAGCCTGTGCTTTTATTTCAAAAGAATTGGGAAAACCCGAACATGTATGTTGTCATTTTTTCATTCTTATTTGAGCTTTTGCTAAGGGTCAAGATGTTCAAAACATTATTTTACGTCAATTGACAATACTGACAATAATGCCAAAAACTGCGTGAGGTACTAAGTTAAATCATAAACATTCTATAAATATATCATTTATTAACGAATAGAAAGTATCACTTGAAAACATATATTTTTAAAATATATATATATTTTTGGAAAAAAGATATATCAAAAATTTGCATAATTTTTTATGCACCTGTTTAATTAATGCTGTGTACTTAAAGAATTTGAAGAAATATTTATCAATGAAGGGCAAATTGGACGTAAATGGGAATTAATGAAAGGCTGTTATTGAAAGCATGATGTGTTTATATTAAAGACAAAACCCCTATAAAATCTGCCACTTGCGATTGTACTTTCGGTTTCAAGTCTTAAACATTTAGGCAAAATAGACAGGGAAAACAGCTTTCCAGAGGCTATCAAAGTCCAACTTGCCCTTTGGTGATAAACATATTCATTTCTGCAGTGATTTCTTTCACCTAAAGTACGGATATAATAAGATGTATTTTGTAAAAATATTTGCATTTTTTAGACGGTGGCTTTATAAAGCCACAGGCTATTGCTGCTGGTCTGGGCTATGAATAAACAACAGTGTAAACACACGGGGACCCTAGCGGAGATTTTTGCAGAGTCAAAATTATGAAAGTAGACTTGTTTCGATGTTTGAAAATAAAATGTACATAGTTAACAAATACTTTCAAGTTATTTCAAAGACATTTCGTTGATGGACACAAAACCTAATTCCTGATATTTGCCGTCATCAATATTTCTCGCCTTATGAATATTCATTGAATTACGCCGGACTACAAGTAACTCGTACACCAACCGACTCGTATATTCGTATGCAAACTACAGAAGTCAATTTGTACACATTTTTTTGTTTTTTTCTCACATGTGCGAAAAGTCAGTTCGTACACACATTGTGTTAGTTTAAAATTACAATAATATTTATTTAGAATATTTGATGAAAAATATTTGTAGATAATTGTTTCACTTTCTTACTCCGAAATCAAATAATTATTATTGCTAAACAACACACGCTGTTTCTTAAATACTATTTTGTGGAATTTTTATACAATAAAACTTAATAGTTTATAATCGAATTTAACTAAGTCTTTTGATTGTTTGAATTTCTAATATCTATTTACATTGCTATATGAGAAAACCGAATACATCTATTTTAGGAACGAAGAAAAAAGATCACGACATCTTAATTAACCAGTTAATAAAAGGGTTGTTTTGAGGTACATGTATATACGATGCCATAAAATTTGCAAAGTTTTTACTATTCTATTTTTACAAAATAAGATTTTGCCTGATTATCTCGGACACAAAAACGACTTAACGGTTACGGATAATAATTTGTGAAAGCTATAATTACAAAGACTGTATCGGACAAAAGTTACCCATATATTCCATTCCTGTTTAGAAACTCTATCCTGCCTCTAATAAAATTTACCCGTTAAAAAGTGTACGAAAAGGGTATTCAGATAATTGGGCATAAAATACTACTAGTTTTAGGATTTTCATGCGATTTTAGTGGGCTGAATTTTACTGGTCAGTCTTCTACGTGTATTCACAAAGCTATGTATTTTGCAATGACTTGCAGGGCCATTGTATATTATAATATAACGTATACGCATGAGATAAGCATCATCGCAAACCACGGCCAGAATGTACTATCCTCTCCCATTCTGGAGAGAGCTACATATTTAATTACATGTATACACAGACTCCGACCGTGACTTGAGACGACAGAAAAAAGAGGCAGAAAAATAATTTGTTATTCTGTATTTTTCTTTCTCTTTTTTTTTTTCGAGCAGTATACGAGAGTTGTCTGTTAAAATCGTAGACAAAGCGTTTTTCTCGAAAAATAATGGGCGCCGTGAGATAAATTTTTAGCTAGTACTGAATATTTATTTATCATATTTTAGTGTATCTGTATTCTTTTGATAAGATATAGGCAAATATTAGTATTTCATTAACATGCTTTAATGTACGTATACGCTTGCTAAAAAAACGTTTTTTAAATAATATACGGGTATTATTTCGAAAATAAACGTATTAAATAGATTTTGGTAAACATTATCCTATTGTCATTCACTATCTATTGTGTCGTCTATTGGAAAATTTAAGGGCATTTGCTTGATTTTAGGCAGTTTACCAAGATCCGAAATGGGAAAGTGGTAAATACAACAGACGAAAAATGGCGACGTTCGATGACGTTACTACGTACTGGAGAACGGTTCATTTTTCTTCGCGAAATCGTTTTAATCAAATCCACGGGTAGAACAAAGAGCTATTAATAGTAAGACGCTGTCAGTGTTGTAAGCCAATATCTAAGATCCATGTTGCCTATTTAGTTGAATGATAGTAAAAATATTGTCCATAACATTAATACTAATAAATCTTCACAAGGTCCCATTTGTGCGCGAGATTGGTTCCTGACTGTTATTTGAAGAATTAAGGGAAACTCAACTATGTGCATCAATGAAATTCCTTAATTTAAGTGGGAGTTATCCAACTTGATTTTAACAAAGAGGAAACCTGACGCTGCTTTACAAACTTTGACATTATCACCCAATTATCGTAAGGCGACACAGCGCATATAAAATCTCATAATTTGTTTATTTGCGCATATATCTATTTGAAGTTTGCTATGTTTTTTGATGAAAAATTTTACTTAAGAGTAGTGAAAATTTTAGATCACAGTGAGAATTCATAACACTTTACTCTTTAGTACACAAATATAAATTCATATATTAAAATACATTGTACATGTACATTTATTGTGAAAAATTGAAATAAACTTTTATAATTTCCATATCATTTTACAAATTCTTACAACATTTTATCTTATTTAATGCCAGTCGCCATTTGATGTACATAGTGGATTTGCTCTGGAGTCACGACCTGAAGGAGTCCATCCTTTCGCCGCGGGTTCTACTTCCACTGCGGGACTTGGAGATCGGCCCTTAGTTCAGATTGAGATCCCGTGTCACAGTAATTGCTAGCCAGAAAAATACCCCTCACTGTTCAAAATTTTATTCTCGAAAGGGACATTAAACAAACAAAATCATTCATGCCACCGTCTTTCAGTACTCACAGTACTTTAATTAAAGATTTTTTCTCGATAAATATAATAAGTATTTGTTATCAAGTGATACTTTCTATCTATTAAGCAATTATAAATGAATTAATGTAAAAATTTTTACTTAATAAACTACATAGTTTTGAAGGTATTGTTACTGTAAAAATAAATTTTTGTGTATGTTGACCTTTAGCAAAACCATAAATATATTAGCAATTCAAGTAGCCGAGAACTGTAGCGTTATGGTTTTATATATTAGCCTTTGACCATAATGCTACAGATCCCATAATGCAAACAATTTGCATATTTACGGCGTAAGATTTTTTGTGCACTGATTTGGAGAATTTCTCCACTTTCCAAGTTTGGTAAATTACCTACCTTTCGTCCCATAATTCCAGACACATTCTTTTACCAATTTGTATATTTTATCTTCCTCTCAACCCTGTATACTGGGTAGTTGCCTTTACAGGCGATAAACTGGCTTGATTTGAATTCTCTGAGGGATTGCAGAAAATTGTAAATCAAGTGAGTGTTGTAGAGATGACTATAAAGGGTTCGGAGGTGTATAAAATATACCGATTTATTTAAAAATGTGTCTAGAATTATGAAGGGAGAGGTAGATGATTTACCAATGTTGGAAGTTGGAGAAATACTCCAAAATAGTGCGCAAAATATCATGCGCCGTAAATTACACATTTTTTTGCATTAAGGGATCTGTAGGGTTATGGTCAAAGACAAATATAGAATACTATAACCCTACAGTTCTATAGAAAACCATAACCCAACAGTTCTACAGAAAACCATAACCCTACAGTTCTGCAGCTACAATTCAACTTTTATTCAAGCACTGTTAAGTGCTTAACTCTAATCAGAGACATATAAAAGATCTATCACATGTCTCTGCTCTACTGTCTCTAGCTACACATCATCACATGCTCAAGTAACAGTAATTGTCTTTCTCATCCCAAGACCATTTATAGTTTCGAACTTAGCCCAAAAACAATAGTAGTTGTTTCCTGCTACCAGCCTGAAAAAAAATTGGGTAGGTAGGTAGGAAAATTTTTTTTTTTTTTTTTATTTTGGATATGAACTAATACAAAACCAAATTAAACATATCATACGTCAATATTTTCTTTCTAAATTAAATTTTTCTTTTGATGCATAACTCAAGTGGTATTTTATGAAAGTCCATATTTAAAACATATAGTATCATAAGTATCACTTGAATACATATATAGATATATTTACATTACCAATGTCTTTGTATGAGATAAAATTACAAATTGTAAATGTACTTTATTTCCCCATCAATGTATTGGCGCGGTTCAAAAAAAATCACGTGCAGGGTGGGACAAACAGCAAGACAGAAGCAGGGCAAAGCATGTTAATATAAGAAATAACTGTAAGATTTTTTCAATTTCATGACGATGATCAATCGATTGGCTTGCGTGATAATTTTATGCATAAACGCCTTCATTACTGCAATTCCAGATTTTTTTCCAAAGCTTAAAAAAACTTGAGGGTCGGGTGCAAAAAAATAGGGAAAGCAGAATCCAGACTGGAAAAAAATCATTAGAATGCTGGTTAGGATTTACATTACCGGGTATGTACTTTCATTTTCTCAATGTTCAATAACAATATTATATTAAACATTTCTGGCGTACCCACAACATTCCTTCCTCAAGTTCTTCTGTCCCAAAGACACCAACCAAGGGTGTGTTCAGAAAATTTCTAGTCGTACCATCACCTGTTTGCCAATGATAACAATTTGTACCGTTGGTATGCTACCAATGGATCCATATATATACTCTGAATGAGTTTTATTGGTAGGTAACTCAAAAATGTTAACAGTAGCACCATTGGTGTACATTTTGTGCTAGCTGCAGTAAAGTAGCCCTCTCCGTTTTTTTGGGGGTGGGGGGTGGGGGAGGATCTGTCCAGAATTATAAGATTTAAAAAGTCGAAGAGGGCTACATTATTGCAGATACTTTTCTGCCTTTGGTGTACTATTGTTAACATTGGCTGATTATTTTGAGGAAAATTGATATCCAATGAAAGGTTTTGCCACAAAGAATACATAAGTGAATAATGGAAGCAATAGCCCTAACCATTCAAAATTAATGACCAAGGTTAAAAATTTTAAAACGTAGGTCAAACTCCAAGGACAGGGCCAAAGGGTCTAAGTTTTTGGTATCCAATGAAGGGTCTTGATCCCCGAAACTTCATTTACGGGTGTATTAAAAAATCATATTTTCTTTTATTTAGTAAAACTTACATTGTTTGTAGTTAGTTGTTGTGCGAGTAAATGCTGACCAGATGATGAGTGTTGGAAATTCTTCTGATCTATGTGCAAGTATAGAGTTGAGAAACATCACAGATGGGGCAAAAATTAAAGAACATGCTGTAAATATTACTGACTTTGTGGAAAGAACACTCAACATCCCAAAGGACAGGTAAAAAAGAGTTACAATGGTACATTCAATGCTGTAATTTTTATGCCCCCGTAATAAAAGATTCGAAGATACATATTAGCTCACCTGAGCCGAAGGCTCAAGTGAGCTTTTCTGATCACATTTTGTCCGGCGTCTGTCTAACTGACTGTCCGTCTAGCTGTCTTCTCAAGAACCACTGGGCTAGAAAAGCTGAAACTTATTTGGAAGCATCCTGGGGTAGTGTAGATTCTAAATTGTTCAAATCATGACCCCTGGGGGTTGGGCGGGGCCGGCAATCTAGAGAATCAAACTTTTACTTAAAAATATAGAGGAAAAATCTTTAAAAATCTTCTTCTCAAGAACCACTGGGCCAGAAAAGCTGAAACTGATGTGGAAGCATCCTGGGGTAGAGTAGATTCTAAATTGTTCAAATCATGAACCCCGGGGGTTGGGCGGGGCCACAATTGGGAATCAACGTTTTATATAGAAGTATATAGGGAAATCTTTAAAAATCTTCATCTCAAGAACTACTCGGCCAGAAAAGCTGAAACTTATGTGGAAGCATCCTGGGGTAGTGTAGATTTTAAATTGTCCAAATTATGACCCGTGGGGTCTTGTGAGGTCACAATAGGTATTACAAGGTGGAATTCTGGTTGAGAATAGCATGGTCAAAGTTTCTAGGGTGAGCAATGTGGCCCATGGGCCTCTTGTTGTCTTGTCTGTCTGCAAATACTTTAACCTTGCCCATAACTTTTGAATTAGTGAAGCTACGAGGTTCATATTTAAAATGTGTAATTCTTAGGACAAAAACAACGTACAACTGTCATATTTCACATATATATATTTTTTTGGAAATATCTTCCATCTTATACCAACAAATTTGACCTTGACATTGGAGATATAGGTACTTTTTAGGTCACTTGAATCACTAAGATGACCTATTGTTATCCGTTTTGTCTGTCGCCTTGCGTCGTGTATTAACATTTTAACATTTTCAGCTTCTTCTCTGAAACCATTTAACCAATTTCAACCGAATTTGGTATACAGCATTTATGGGTGAAGGGGAACTCAAATTGTGAATTTTATGGTCCCCACCTCCTGCGGCCTGAGGGGTGGAGCCAAAACCACTAAAATTAATGAAATCTTTAAAAATCTTTTTCTTTATTGGTGGACTTCAAGCAGTCAAACTGTGTAAAAGTAAGCATGAAAGTAATGAGCATTGAGTCCTCTACCAAAATCGTGAAATTCATGACCGCAGGGTCAGGGGTTCTAGTGCTAGGGCGGGGCCATATAGATTATGTAGTGAACATGTATTATATCTTTGAAAATCTTCTTCTCTGCTCCTGGGTATTAAATAAACTAAATACAAAGTTATAATGAGCAAAAGTGCTTCTTCCAAAATTGGGAATTTATGGCCCCAGGGTCAGGGGTTAGGGCGGGGTTGATTATATAGTGAAAATGCATTAATTCTTCAAAAATCTTTTCCTCTGCTCCTGGGTATTAAATAAATTAGCTTAGTATATATTTATAATGAACAAGACTGCCTCAACCAAATTTGTGAATTTCATGGCCCCTGTGTCAGGGGTTTTGCTATTTGGTGAAAGGGGGCTCTTTTGATTATATAGTGAAAATAATAGTAGGTCTTCAAAGTGCGGTGGGACTCCAAAGTCCGATGGTCACGCCAAAGTCTGATGGTCTGCGTCAAAACCCTTTGGTTTGACACGCCAAAGTTCGATGGTGTGGAAAACAATTAACGTACGTCAGAGTACTACTTCGCAAAAAAGCAATGCCGTGTCATGCCAACGTATTCTTTAAAATAAATACAAATAAATATTAAATGCAAAGATTAACCCTCATCTTTTGGATATAGGTGCGAGACTAACCCTAATCAGTCGGAAAATGTATAATATTAAGCAACTATAAGTTAAATTTCTCGGATGCTGGACTAATCCAAATAAGTCGAGAACTAGGCTAACCCTAAATTCTCTCTGGTGGATTCCAAGAACACATTATCAATCCAACAGTGTTCAAGGACTAACCCTTATCAGTCGAGTGGTGTGCAATAATTAACCCTAATTAATGCGTCTAGTGGGTGAAAACAATCAGCGAAATAATTAAAATTGTATGTACACGAGACCAATACTGAATCAATGTATTTTTAATGCTGGACAATTTGGCATAGCCAATGGCATAGCGTCGGGCATATTTGACGTCATAAATGTTGATTGTTCCTCCGCACCATGCGACTGTGATCTCAAGAAACTATCGGGGTTTGGCAAGACCATCGGACTTTGGTCTCACCATTGCACTTTGGAGTCTTACATATTAATTCTTTGAAAAAAAATTCCGTTGCTCCTGGTATCATGCCAATGATCCAAGTATATTTATTTATGATGAAGAGAGGCGCATCCAGCAAAATGGTTAATTCCATGCCCCCTGGGTCAGAGGTAAAAGGGGGGAGGGCTACATAGTCTGTAAATAAATAATGCTTTGAAATCTGCTCTTTGGTATTAATCAACCATATATGATGAAATAAAATTTATGATAATAATTCCAAAAATTTGGCCCCAGGTTCAGTGATTCCTATAGGGCAGGGTGCACTACTGGTTATAAAGTGGAAGTGAATTTTCTCTTTGTTACTGTGATCTACCTCTGGTATTATATAAATAGAGTAGCTTGCTAAATTTATTATCATGATAAGTATTGGTGCCTCTTTCAAAATTGTGAATTTCATGGCCTCTGGTTTAAAACATAAACCAAATTCAATTGTTGGAAAGTTGTTACATGATACTCACGTGACCTATAAGGCATGAGGGCCTCTTGTTAAAACACTTAAGGCTCGGCCATAACTCTTGAACAGTAAGGACTAGGGCTTGTATACTTCACATATGCAATCCTTGTGACAAGATCTTTCATTTGATATCAACAACTTTGACCCTTTGAACTTGATTTAGCTGCAGATCTGTAGCGCTCTCTCCGAAAAAATATTGACAGACTGGAGAACTATAGTGCCACCCATTGAAAAAACTGTGCATTTATTGTGCACAAAAAGTCTTACCTCAATCGCGAAAAAGATAGATTTTTAAAAAATATCCTTAATCCTTTATGAAGTGTTCTCGTAGTTGACATCTGCACAAAGTGCGTTGAACTGAATTATCTTGCAAACCAAAATGCGGTAGAAACAGACCAAATTTTCGATGATCTCGATTTCAGGGCCAAGAGGGTTAGTAACAACAATTATAATGAATGTTTTGTTGCGAAAACAGTGAAAGAATATGTAAGGAATACACGGTTAGTAATATTTTTAGATGAAAGTTTAGAAACATGGAGAAATAAATCGAGAAACAGCGCACTTTTTGTGCAAAATAAACATACAGTTTTTCAATGGGTGGCACTGTAGCTCCCCATCTGTCAATATGTACTTTTTCAGAGAACTACAGATCTGCAGCTAAACTTGACCTTGGAGTTTGACTTATTTTTAGAAGACTTTATAACCTTGGCGCAAACATGTTAACTCTACCGATTCAGGCTGGAGTCTACCGCTTTTTCACTTCATCTCCCACCTACCGATTTAATTCAGAAATCTACCGCTTTTCTACAAAAGTTTTGGCCATAACTTTTGAACGGTTAGGGTTGGGGCTTTCATACTTTACATATGTAATTATTGTGACAGGACCTTTTCTTTCAAAACCAATAACTTTGACCTTTGACCTTGACCCTGGAGTTTGACCTACCTTTCAAAACAGGTGGTGCTAAGACTTTCATATTATACAATTATATTTCTTATGATAGGACCTTACTTTTGGTATCAACATATTTAATTTGCATATAAGAAAAGTTTAATCTTCGCTATGTTTCCATACGGGGGCATCAATGTTTCACAAACACACCTTGTTTGAGGTACAAATCAAATCGATATGAAATTCGATGTGTACTCTTAAATTACATGAAATTGTTGCAGTGTATGAAGAATTTTAATTACTATGTACAAAACCAGCCATGACTGAATATTTAAAGTTCAATAATATAAATGGAAGAGGATCAACTTCTGCATCGTTACACTGAAATTGCTTTATCTACTATAACTACAGGTTTTTCATCAACTTTACAAATGAGAGAGGAGAAGATATTTCATTTAAAGGAAAAACCTTTGGATGAGGAGTAATTGTGCTTTGACAACACAAATAGTGAAGATACTGACTTGATCAAATGATTATGATCTGCTAAGTGCCATATTTAGATGCCATTAATTCAATAAAAAATGAACATTTTAAATTTCCTTACTCTTTTGTATTTTTATGGAAGTCCCTCAGATTGTTTTTAAAACATAACACTTTTTTTTTGGGGGGGGGGGGTTAATGTCTATGGATGTTTATTTCTGCATTGACAAATTTTGTCTGCAAATTAACTTTGGAACTGTTTATATGGTAGCTACGTAGCATGATTATTGAATGATTTAACTTCAAAGGAAGATTATTTGTGAGAACACATGGCATAATATTATCTCAAGGCCATTATTGCAAGTTCAACAACATTGACAGAAAAAGTGCATAATTTATATCAGGTCAATAATATTTTAATGTAAACAAGCTAATTCAGAGAATTCGTGTCCCCCGCTTAGGGAAAAAGTCGACTCCCCCTGACTGAATTTGTAGAATTATTAAATGTATACATGTATACTGAAGGAAATAAAATACATGTATGTCAATATGCATATAAAGATTTGATTGCTTATTCTTTATTATGTGTATAGAAGATTTTTTTATATGGAATATTTATCACACTGTAATGATGATTTTATAACCTCATAAATTTTTCATTTCACATGCTGAATACTATCATTTAGTAAAAAAAAAAGTATTTAAAAAAAAAAAGAAAGAAAGGTTCGACCGAGATTCGATCCTGGGACCTCTCACAGTTGAAGCGAGAGACATAACCACTAGACCACGGAGTCGCTTTGCTCGGAGTGAGGTATATGCAGAACTGAAGTCACATACATGTATATATTCATGTTTTCATGTTCGGTATTCTCAAAATTTTACACAATCCATGGTGTTTGATTTATTTAGCCTTTATTAAACAGTTATAATAGATGTAATAAGAACATAAAGTCCGCCAAGAACCTGTTTTATACGCAATAACTCTCCTCATGCCCCTGCGCTAAAAATAGCGACATGTAATACTATAAATACTAATAAAACAAACGGGGCGGGGCACTTTGAGAGGGGCGAGAGACGTCCTAGGGAGTTTTGGTATAAAATTACATTGCATAAGCTCAAAATCTTCTTGAAATATCGCCCGGAAATGATAGTGTTACACACAGACAGAATGTATAAATTTACGACCTTGAACTTTGACCTTTTGACCTCAAAATCAATAGGGGTCTTCTTTAGGCCACAGGGAGTTGTTATGTAAAATTTCATTGCGATAGCTCAAATGGTTCTAGAGATATCGTGTGGAAACGAAAGTGTTTTAACAGACAGAATATGCTTAATTAAGACCTTTACCTTTGACCTTTTGACCTCAAAATCAATAGGGGTCTTCTTTAGTCAATAGGGAGTTGCTATGCTAAATTTCATTGCAAAAGCTCAAAGGGTTCTCGAGATATCGTGTGGAAACGAAAGCGTTACAGACAGACAGAAAGACGGACGGACGGACGGACGGACGGACGGACAGACGGACGGACGGACAAACCCAAATTAATATCCCCCACTTTTCAAGCGGGGGACAATAATGGAGGTTCACATCTTACTCAAAGATTACATTCACATGTAGCCAGTCAGACTGAAATTATAACTCCTACTTTCAGCGAAAGAGAGGACAAAAAGATGCCTGAGTTTCTGATTGACAATATCTATTTAGTTTTTGGAGATAATCTCTTCCAAAAAGCTGAGAGAATTCCCATGGGTACCAGTATTGCCTCCCATTATTGTCCCCTGCTTTCAGAGTCTGTCTGTCATCCATCTGTAAAAATATCATACCTTTGCTATATCTTAGAAGTGAAATTTTACATAACATAACATATTTCTATTGGCAAAAGAAAACATCTTGGTTTTGAGGTCAAAAGGTCAAGGTCGGAAATTCATACATTTTTTCAGCATATAGAATTCTGGTCGATATCCTATGAAGCTTTTGAGCTTTGTAATGATTCTCATGCATAAGATTTTGAATAAATTCTGCTTCATATCATTACAAAAATTGATCTACTAACGAGCTAATTCAGAAAATCTAGAAGGGGGGTCAAAAGTAATGAATTATATAACATAATTCTCTATGGCCCACCCGCCCCTCTTAAAGTGTCCCCTTTTGACCCCCCCCCCCTCTAGATTTTCTGAATTAGCTCGTTAGTAGACCTATTTTTGTAATGATATGAAGCAGAATTTATTCAAAATCTTATGCATGCATATGAGAAAAAGAAAAACTTGATGTGGCTTTCATTTAGATATATCGACGGCGTATTATCGATGAACAAAGGTAATTTCCATTCATAGGTTGACACGCTATATCACAGAGAGCTTGAAGTTTTGAAATTAAGGATACCACAGAGTCTGTCTCATATTTTTTTTCAGGTTGGACATTTTACTAGAAGAAGACATTAGGGGTAATCTAACACCAAAGCTTCATAATAAACATGATGACTTTCACTTTAATTGTTAGCTTCCCTTATAAAGTAACAATATACCCCAATAACCTAAATATTGGAGTTATGTCTCCCAGTCGATATGCAAAAGCATGCTCCATGTACGAACGAATTTTAAAAAAAGAGGCAAGTTATTGTCAATTAAGTTAATGGATGAATAGAATTCACGAAATGATGACAGCTGATATTCTTGATTTATCAACTTGTTTGTCAGTAACTTACATGTACATCGTTTTAGATGCTCTTGCTTATCGAATCAACTGAGATCTATAAAGCCCGTTTGCAGGTGATCAGGATATATTGCTGCATAAATAAGGTAAGTTGATTATTGAAAAGTTGAAGTCATCTGATCACATTTTTCTTAAAGCTCCGTTGTTAAATTACCGTAACCTCTTTTTCTATTATATTATTTAAATATGAAACAGAAGTGTCAGACTCTTTAATTTAAAGCTCATCTGGATAAATTGTGTCGACATAACACTTAATTGTTAATTGACAATACGTTGTCGATATAAGTGTAGAGTTGAAAGCCACAGCAAGTGTTTTCTTCTTTAAACGTATAAGATTTTGAACAAATTCTGCTTCATATGAATACGAGAATAGATCTGCTAATAACATACCATGATCGGTACGGATCTATTGATTTTTTTCACGAAGGCAGTTTTTTTTACATTTACAAACACACATATCTTTTAATTTCAGCTTCGGAGTACTTGTGTGTACAATCAGAATGTTTGTAAAATAATCGCGCCTATAGCATATGAAAAGGTATAAAACCTTAGTTATGTTCCCCAAACGAAGTTGGGGAACATATTGTTTTTACTCTGTTTCTTATTATTAAGGTCTTCCGTTTCAGACGGAAGACCTTATAGTGATTCTACTGTTTCTTTTTATTATTATTTTTTTGGTTGGGGAACATATTGTTTTTACTCTGTTTCTTATTATTAAGGTTAACATCGTGCGCCGTCACTTCCGGTCGTCACAGGAAGTGATCAAAGAAATCGAAATTTTCAACTTTTTCTTTTTTGAAACTTTTTTGCATCACGTTATAGCATCTTGTTTGTAGTTTCGAAATATATCAGTCTCACCGGAAACAAAAACGACAACTTCCGGTTATAAGAGAAAAACTGCATATTTTCAGTATTTTTCTCTCCCATAAATATTTTTTATGCGTAATGTATTTGAAATGGTTTTTGGATATGTTATTTAGACTGCAAATGTCTACAGTAACGTCAAATATCTTTGTAAAATTTACTTCCGGTCGCGTGATTTCTGGTCCTCCAAAATGAGAAGTTATCATAGCTAGATCTTGTAAACGGTAAAAGATAAAGACACCAAACCTATCTAGAGTGATAGATCTTGATAGGTAGGCAAAATTAGTTGTGATAAGATCGTCCGCCGTCACTTCCGGTCGTCACAGGAAGTGATCCAAAAAATCGAAATTTTCAACTTTTCTTTTATGAAACTGTTTTATCCTTACATTAGAGCATTTTATTTGTTGTTTTCAATTATTTCAGTACCACTGGAAACAAAAAGAGACAACTTCCGGTTATAAGAGAAAAACTGCATATTTTCAGTATTTTTCTTTCCAATAAATATCATTTATTTATGAAGCATTTGTAATGAGTTTTGGATATGCTATTCAGACTGCAACTGTCTACATTTTCGTCAAGAAATTTTTGCAAAACTCACTTCCGGTCGCGTGATTTCTTGTCCTCAAAATGAGAAGTTATCATAGCTAGATCTCGTAAACTTTGAGAGATTAAGACACCAAACTTAATAAAGTGGTTAATCTTGATGAGTTGGCAAAAACAATTAAGATAAGATTGTCTGCCGTCACTTCCTGTCGTCACAGGAAGTGATCAAAGAAATCATGAATTTTAACTTTTCTTTTAGGAATACTTCTTGGCATCACACTATTGCATCTTAATTGTTGTTCCGATATATGTCCGTCCCAAAAGAAACAAAAACACCAACTTCCGGTTATGAGAGAAAAACTTTATTAATTGAGTATTATACTATCCCATAAATATATTTTATAGAATGAGTACTACGAAACTACTTCCTTCAACCTTAAAATGATAAGTTTACAAAAAACCTTTTTTGTTGACGAACTCGATGGCTCAGTGGTTAGCGTGTCAGACTTTCATTCTGGTTTTGGGATCGAGCCTAGATCAAGGATTCTTCTTTTTTGCATTCTGTCTTTTTTTTTAAATAGAAAAATATCCTTCTTATAGAAAAATAGAGAAGAACGGAAGACCTTATTTGTTGCTGTAGCAACAAGAGTTTCTAGTATTCTTACTATTTTCGTATTGACCAACTTCTGGAAATGACCTTTGTCCGGTCCATTTCTCCCGAACAGCTTAAGATATGAAAGTTTACTGTGTCGGATATCATAGATCATGACTTGAAGATGTGTCGAACAACATTTTGTCCGTCGTCAATTCTTCCGGTCGTCGCGAAAAAGGGAATTAAAAGTCGATTTTTTAAATTTCTTTGTCTTTCTTTCTATCTTTTTCTGTGATATTCATGGCATAAGTAAAGGCCCCTATTTGCTGATTTAACGTATAACCAGTTTCTTGATTTGATAAAGAAGAAAT